GAGCAGTCCTCAAAGAGACGTGTGCGGCTGCAGAGCCGCAGGTTCCTGACCCCACAGCTGTACAAATCAAAAGTATCTGCTAAATTTTGAGAAGAGGGATTCTGTATTAGCATTCATTGGAAGGATTTGATAAACAATTTCGGGTCTTAATTGATTGTTCACGCTTACGGTGGCTTTCAGACCGCATCCATTATTTTCGTCTCCCCCCTCCTCTTTTCCGAACATAGATGGACTCGTCCATCTGAATAACTGCCAAATCGCTTTCCGTGGTGCTAACGTTAAAAAAAACCTGCCACTTTTTTCAAATTTTCTTGCTGTGGGTTTCACACCTGATGATGATTGCTTGTGTTGCAGTCAAAACGTCGTGAGAATTGTATTGCTTTATATTTTTATTATTTTATTGTTTCGCTTCTACGTGACTTTACCGAAAGAACAAAGATTATAGTATCTGCTAAGTTTAGTTGTGAGGATTATTCAACATACCGGGAAGCTAAAACAATAATTGGTGCGTTCAATGTTTGTAGATGTGACAATTACATTATTTTGGCCGTGTTGGGTGGTGAACGTTACACAACAAATAGTTATCCAGATCATTACGTGGCTAAACCCAAAATCATTTATCACACAAATAGTAAATTAACACGCATGCGTCTCACTGCATGTTTTTATCTTCGGCATGTTCTCGTCCCAGTGGCGAGATGTTAACTGCCTCGCCTGGTATACAGGAGGTTGTGGGTTCGATCCCGACCCTGGCGCCTGTATATTTGGCGTTTGCATGTTTTTGCTGTGGTTGCGTGTATTTTTCTCCCTCTCTGATTTTTCACTCCACATTTAGGAATATGCATTTAAAGTATTTAGCTGCTATAAGTTTCCACAAAATAAACCACTTAGACGAGCTATCATTTGTAGCCAGGTCGCTTCTGAAAAAGAGCTCTCTAGCTCAGTGGGCCTTACCTGGTAAAATAAAAACGAGTTTAGTTTTATTTCTCACGAACCTGACACTGCCTCAGGCACAACAGAAATATTCCAACACTGAGGGCTTCCGGTGGGGTGTGATGCGGGGCCCCATAAGTGACAGGCGTTGCCTCCAAGGCAGTCGTTGCATTGCGGGTTGAAGGCCTGTGGTGTGGCTGTGCACAAGAGTCAAAATCACGTTGTAAGGACTTTTCCAACAGCTGCGTTATAAAACCAAGTGTTTCACCATCAATGCCGCCAATCCACGGGAGTTTTTTTACGGTATACGTTGATTAATTACGTTTAGCAATTACCGCAGGGTCTCACGGACATGTGCATAAAGAGGCTTTTGGTACGGGCACAAAGTGGGCTGCTTCCTGACTTATCCTACCCTCTACCCACAATGCTTCACTCGCATCTCTGCACTGTGAGTGGGTGACGAGGTTTCAGATAAATGCAATGATCGTGAGTGTTCTGGATCAGTAGTCATCAATAATTAGAATACGTTACAACCTTAGGGGTAGAGTACAGCTGTGAAACTTGGCTAAGTTGTTCTTATCAAAGCTCACAAGTAGCCTAAAGTGAAACTATCTTTAAAGGCTCAGAATATACAAATATATCTTGACGTGTATATTCTTGGTTCTTTCGGTAAAGTCACGTTGAAGGGAAACAATAAAATAATAAAATATATAAAACAATAAAATTCTCACGACGTTTCGACCGCAACACAAGCAGTCATCATCAACGTAACTTTGCCGAAAGAACCAAGAATATGAATGACTGCAGTTACGAAAGCTTTAAATCAAAATTTATCTTGACGTGATCAGTTGTTTGAGGTCCAATCATGGCGTGGGAATAGTTGCATGGCAGTCACGCTAAAGTAATACCTTACAACTTTGTCCAGGACCGTGGAGGCAAGCACACATTTTTTTTTAGCCATTTTGCTTGCTGGCAGATGATGCAAAAACAAAAAAGCCGTTCCTGGAGCCAGGTGGGCTTTAATGTCAGACGCGTGCAATGTCTGTGCGATCGGATATACAGCTGTTGATTGCCCCCACCACACGTGTCGCTCAAAGCTTTTAGGGCCGGTCTCTGTGGAAGGAAATATTGTCTTTGTGTGCGTGAGGCTACTGGAGCGGTATATTTTTTTGCTGATACAGCTCTATTGATTTGACGTTTTATCCCACTTTTTTGTCATAATTGTTTTGTTTTCATATTACCAAACGTCTGTGGATAAGGGATGTTTTTTTTAATGGCACGGTTTTTTTTTGTCCTGTGTATGAATCGTAGATGGTTTTCAGATTATTGTACTGGCGCAGTACCTTTAGATCTTTTTTTTACATTACAGATACGGTGTGCAATAACATAAGTCTTCAAAACGTATATATAACCTTCGTAGCTTTGACAAAAGAAATGCTGCTCCATTTTATATGACATACTGTACCAAATTTCCTATTAGGTTATTGAGTATTCCTTCACATTTTAGGGTAATATCAGAAAGGCTGTGCACGGTTTGTCAGACTAATCGAGTGTGCTGTATAAGGATCTTTCAATGTGCTAATGTACCTTTATCACCCGGTGACAGTTTTAAAGAAAAGTTCTGAGGTTATCTTTTTTGCAAGCACTCTCAGAGCTGCATGCTGAAGGTACATCCTGACCCACTTTCACAACGCCATCTCTCCTCTAAAGAAAAGGGCTATTGCTCGTTCGTAATCATCTTCATCATCAGCCATGATCAATCCACTGCTGGAAGAAGGCCTCCCCAAGCCACCGCCACCTTTAACAATCCAACCAGCGCCTAAACATGCACCGATCTCATTGTTCCTTCTCAATATTTGACGTACCCTCGGACACGTTCCATACCTTGGCTGCCACTCAGTTATTATTGTTGGCCATTGTCCATCATTCCTTCTAGCGACGTGTATTGCCCGAGCCTACTTTACTTTTCTTGATGGTTTTGTTAATGCACATGTTAGTTCTCTAATCCATGTATTCCTCTTTCTGTCTCTCACTGTGATTCCAGACGTGCATCTCTCCATGTTTCTCTGTGCAATTTTACGTTTTTTTTTTAAATATCTTATGTTAATTATGCTCGTTACGTGGATCTTGTTGATCTTTTTCCAATCTTCTATGTCCTATGGCAATGCTAATCATAAAAATAATCAATGCTTATGCTTCAGGTGCACTAAATATTTTCAAAAATAATTCGTATTTGTAAAACTTTCAATAAATTATCATTCTACCTGTATTTATTTGGCGATTATAGTACTGCAGCATAAGTGGTGTTTGGGTAAGTGTTGATTTTTAGGTTTCTTAGTGTGTTTCATACTAAAAATATACATTTACTGTGATGTAACCATGTTATTTTGGTACATAGACAGCCCTTGGAACTGCGGTGTTCTCTTTGTGCTTGTTTTACTTCGTTCTTTCAATTGGGCTGTGGTGGATAGTGAGTTTGAAAGTTGATGAGATCAGTCCTAGATAATTTTTGTATTCTGCTGATTTTGCTTGGCATCACACCCAATTTGTGTGTTTGCGTGCGTGTTCCTTTTTTTACCTCCCTTTGGGCAGAACTATCGTTGCAAGGGGCCTGGCTTCTCATAGCTCATGACTTTAAAACACTCTCACGATTGATGTCAATTGATCTGCAACGCTGCAGAAATGCTGCTAAGACCATTTGGATGTTTTAAGTAGTGCTTTGGCTGCAGTAGTTGAAAGTTTGAACCTGTTTACTGGCTACTGACTTTCTGGAGATTGGATTAATAGCTTTTTTGTTTCCTATCAGAAGTGGTGTGGGTCTCTTGCTAGGTTACATATAGTGTACATTTAAATCCCATAGTTTTCATTCGCATTGCTTTTTCTCACAGCATAGCTCTACAGAGATTGATAGTGTGTGTGTGTGTGGAGCGTCTACCATCACAAGTTTACAAGTTATATCGGGAAGAGGGGGTAAATTACAGGATTCGTGTATCCATTGTGTCACATGATTGATATGATATTTGGCTCTTTGTAGCACAAAGTTGTAGTGGTATTTTTTTCTGTACCCTCTCCGGAAACCATTCCTTCTATGCAGCATTTCAATTGTCTTGGCAAAACACCGAAAAAAATTGTTCAGTGTTTGATTTTTCAACAGTGCTGTGTAGCATCTAAAAGGGCCCTGTGGCGAATCAAGTTGAGTGTAAATGTTTGGAAGTGTTGACTTCATCTGAGTTAGTAGGCCCCCATACCACAATCAGAATAACTTGGAATTTAAGGGCTTAGGAATCGCCGTGTATTCTGTCAGTGCCAGTGTTGAGGTGGGTTTTTTGTGTGATTGCAGCAATCTTTTCCGTGATTGCCCGTTGCTATTTATCACCTGCTCAAACCGTGCAATCTACTAAAGCCAGTAAGTCTGTAAGATTGGAAAGAAATGGCTCGAGTAGCCGCGTACCCGCAATTCGCTGCAAATTTCATCCTCAATTGTGTCGCACGTAAGGCAGAAAAAGCAGATTAACCATTCCTCCTTCAGTTGCCTGGGTGCCATTGGTAAAATGACATTCATAATGGGTTTCATTTGGCGTTTTGTTTCTTTCGCAAGATGCCCACAACTGCTGGTATCGGGGACGGTGTCTATGTGCAGTTTGGTCCCAGTGAAAACTACCACATGGCGGTTCACGGAAAATGATAATTTTTCATTAAAAAATAAAAAAAGCATTTGAGCATAGACAGACGTTGACAAATTTTAGTGCTAAAGTATTTTATAGAATAAAAGGTTAAAACACTTGTGATTGATGTGAATTGATCAGCGATGTAGTGCGTGCGCTGCAAGAGGGGGTGGTCCGACACCTACGTGACGATTCCTTAACTGTGAGGGGGTGGGGGGGGGGGGTCCACGAAATCGGTGGGAAATGGACAGTAATCCCGCGGGTGACAAGAGTTCACCGTAATTGTAGAGGGCAAGGGCGAGAGTCCGAACGCTCGTGCACGCGGCGTTAGTGGGAACCGGGGACACGGCGGGGGGTCGACGCCTTCCCTTCACACGTCGTGTCATCGTTGTGACCAATCAGGTGAGCGAGGCGCCGTGCTGAGAGCGACCGGGCGCGCGCCCCTCCCCCCCCCACCGCGCGTAACGATGGGCCTCGGAGGGGCCCACCTGCCGGTGCTGCCCCCGACGGCCCTCATCCTCCTGGCCTTGCTCCGCCCGACTCCGCTCTGCTGCTTCCCTGAGGACCCCAAGCCCATCAGCGTCTTGGACGCCAAATGTGAGTGGCCGTCCGTCCTGCCCAGCCCCCGCCGTGCCTGCTTGTGTGGTTAAACGTTTTCCGTAAACGGCGTGTACCTTTCATTCATAACGCTGTTGTCAAAGTCCATTATTGTCACCATGGGAACTGGTCACATGGGCAGTTTGATGGTCATAAATGTGAAAGTCAATAGTGTTATGTTTTATTAGATGCTATTCTACTGTGTATAGTATTTTTATAGTATTATTGCTGTTCCATAAAATGTACTACTATTGCTGAACTAATTTGTGTTTTACAAAGTATTTTTTATTACATTTCACAATTTTAAATGTTCTATGTGTAAATAATCATAGTGATCAACTTAGGGTACTGTTAAAATGTTTCATTATTTTAAAAGAAAGATTTAAAACAAGTTCATCTTTTTGAAAGAAAAAAACTCCATTCTAAAATGCAGAATGATGTATTTTAAAATTAATACGACGCTACCGTTACAGTTAAATATAAATTCTTGACACACAACACACTCTGATTAAAGGAATAGGTCATTCAAAACTCCTTGTACACCTGATGGATGCATTCAAGGCAGCGGTGACCTTTCTCTGTTAATAAAACGTGTCTTTTAATTTTCCAGGCAATCTGTTACATTTGCAGATTTATTGTTCTTATCAAATGCCCTTCCTTGCCACCGAAACTGCAAGGAAATGGAATTGGAGCCGTCGATTTACAGCCTGGCGGAGACTCCGGAAGATAATTAAAAATCTAGGCGCTAGGCCTGTGACCACAATAAATCGGCTTTTTGTTGTTTTTATGAAATTTTCTCGTTGACAGATAGCAGTCGTTACCCGGTGTTTCTGGGCCACCGGGTGCAGGAGAACGACAGCATTGGGGAGACCCGTTCACACCGCCTCGATTACCAGCTCATGTTAAAGCTCGATCGTTTGCTGCTCGTCGCTGAGAGGTACATTAAACACGCGGCTATCCATCACCCAGCCTTCGTTCTCCATTATCTCGGATCCTTTGTCTTTTGTGTGCTGACTTATTAAAAAAAAAACCTTTCCCTCCTTCAATAACCTCATCATGGCTGTCGCTTTTTTAATAGGAAAAATCTTGCAGTTGGCGTGAAATATGCGCTCGCCAAAAGTCCCCCCTAATTGCCTCGCTTATTATTCCAAAGATGGATTTGCGGGCGATAATTGCACTTTGATTATTCGCAACAATACATTTCATGAGCATGTAAAATATATGGTATTGTCGGTAAACATATTGTGTATAGTACTGGAAATATACTTTTGTGTTGTCCTTTCCTATGAATTATTTTGTGAATGATCTGTTCAAGAAATTATCTTGTACAAAATAAGTCATCGTGCCAAGACTGATCACTTGCCCCTTTCTTAGTCCTACATAATATATATGATACCCATAAATCCTTCACCCAGGGAAGAGCACGCGTTCTCATATTTGCCAAGAATCGTTTTACCATTGCTGTGTAGGGTGCTAATAAATATATGCCACCCATGTCCCATTATTTCTTGCGTAGTTATCTGTTTCAATCTTTTTTTCAAGGAAAGAATGTCCACTACTGCATTGAGAAGTGCCACCAAAACCATATTCCTCCTAATAACATAGCCAGCATGTCCCCTGGTATTGTTATTTATTACAGCATTGGAATGCCCGAGCACGCGTTATGCGAGAGTAGCATTCCCAAGCCTTTTTACGTTCGGGGAAAAGGGCACAGCTATGAAATAAAGAATAGAAAGAAGCGCGCGTTTGCATCGCAGCATGGCGCTCTCGTTAATGTGGGGCCCCACTGAATGGAAAGGCGCTTAAATAATAGATCGCATATGAGATAACTTTACATCACAAGCAGGCAGCCCGGCTACAGAGGCCCTGAGCCTCTGTATGGGGGGGGTGGGGGGGTGTTTAATGCGTGAGTGCGGTGACATCCACCAACGATGCTATTATCGCACTGTGAGTGATCGTTGAGTGTGTTGGGCCCTCATAAGCTCAGGAAACCCATCGTGGCTGATTGAGGTGAGTGCCTTTTTTTCTCTTTATTATTTTTTCACTCCTTGCAGTGACATATCTAGAGGTTCGGTAATTGGGGCGACAGAGGAAGGTGGCAGTACTCAATGTGATGAGGTCGGACCATCAACATGTCTAGCCATGTGCTGTACGTGCTCTAGATGTTGGAGACTTGTGGGAGTGCTGGTCTTGGAAAGGTTTTGTGTTTGTATTTTTGCAAGTGGAAGGTGTGAGTGTGGTGTTTAGCCCGCACTGTGCTACAAACCTTGTGACCCGAATTCCATTCCTGCTTGCGGGAAAAATAAGCGGCGAATATCTGAACTGTGGCTGGGCCTCCCCTAGGTCGACTCATCCTTAAATGAGTACTTGGCGCTGTGTGTAAACATCAGCATTGGGGAGACAAAGGGTGGCTGGCCCGTGATGTTGGCCACCTTACGTGTCGTGTTGGCCTTCATAGGTGCTCGCTAATAGTGCTTGCCCCAACAGTCTGTTATGGCTATACTGGTGATCTTTGTCTTTGTTCTATGTTCAGCTGTCTAGCAGGACACGGTGTTCTAAATTCCTTCTAAAGTCAGTGTTCCTACAATGGGGCACCTTGTGTATCATGCACTAAATTGTACATTTGTTCTGAAATTGTTCTTGCAAATGTTTTGGGTTTTTTTGTCACAATGTACGTGTGAACCCTTTCAAATTGTGGCAAAAAGAGGCAAGGGCCCAAATAGCTGAGTTTCATTGTATTTATGTTTCTGCTTTTTTATGGCAGTTAGTAACATCGACACCACACATACACACACACTTACAAATGCGCGCTTCGCAGCAGGCGGTAACCGACTGTGCCACACACGAGTCGTACATTCACATTAGGTTGGAATAGAGTGCACTCGGTGTTCGTCTTCAAACGGGCCGCTTTTCAGCCTTTTTGCATTTGTATTCATCGTGGAGAGGCTTATGTTTAGAACTGTGATTTGGTGCCATTCAAGGGCGGGATTGCCAGTCTGTTCAGACACACGCCTTGCTCTGTGGCTCTGGAGTGGTTGCTGTGATGAGATGTTCCTTGATTAGACAAGGTGAAAATGCTCTTTAGTGTTTTGACCTAGACGTAGCTGGCTTTTATTAGGGTATTGCTCTTCTTGTCACCTCTGTTAGTAGAGATGGTGAGGAAACTTTGGCCCGCTTCATTATTAAGCTCAATGTGTCTCTCCTAGCCGCTGCTTAATTTTACTGTCACTGTGTTTATATGTACTTTTTAAAAAGTTACCGTTCAAAAATCTGCCGTTGGTTTTATGCATCTCTGCAGCTTATAGTTCTCTTAATGTGTGCCCTGCTATCTTAGTCGTTGTCAAACTTTAATCTCTTCTCAAGCACATTACAGTCAAAAGCATTATCATCCAGCCAATAGTGTGTGCATGTAAGACCAGTCATCTTTGCCACTTTCCTTGTGTGGGTTTGGAAGAGCTAAAAGAATGATACATTCCAACTTTATAAATGAAGTTTGTACTAGCATACATTGTCCAGTATGTCTATCCAATACTAATATAAGCTGCGGTCAAAAACAACCACATCTTATTGCATGTGTATTATTTTCTCGTTAATGTTTAAATCCTGTCTTGAGGGCAGGATGAACACAACTCTGTATACTCTTTGGTTCTATTGGGTAAAGTCACGTAGGTGAAAATAAAATAACAAAAAATCACGACGTTTCTGCCACAACACAAGCGGCCTTCATCAGGTGAAGGGACGAGACTGTCTGGAGGACAGCGCTGGAGTGAGAGAAGCCACGCTTAGATCACGACCTTTAAGCTGTGCGAGAAGAAAACAAAGCGCCTTGACAAAGGAATTAGCATATAATTTAGCATTGATATGGCTCATTGAAATAGCTAAGTTAAAGTATACACATCCACAGAGGTACCCCTTGACAAAGGAATTAGCATATAATTGAAATAGCTGAGTGATTAGCTTGTAACTGGTCACAGAAATAGCTATGTTAAAGTCAGAGCATATACATTCACCGAGGCACCTAGTACTAATCAAACAGGAGAATTTAGCGAAACACAACCACATTCAGACAGCGGACCTTTAAACTGTGTGCGAGCAAACAAGGTGTTCTGACAAAGAAATTAGCATACAAATTAGCATTTGATTGGCCGATTTTAGGATCAATACAGTACACAAAATTCGTGATCTGATCCCATCCGTGAAGGATGTCATTCCTGACTTACAGTACCCCGGGGTTTACAAATTTAGTTGTACCTGCGGTGATTGCTATATTGGGGAGACAAAGCGACATGTCTCTGACCGAATTCGCGAGCACAAATCAGATTTGAAACACGGCAAAAACGAATTCTTCTGCCATTGCTGATCACTGTTACAACGCTGTGGGTGATCACGATATAATTTTCTCCGATACCAAGGTTCTTTGCAAACCCACGGGCTTTTATCAGAGATTTGTTCATGAAGCAATTCAGATCTACAAACACAGACACAATTTCAACCGAGAAGATGGTTTCAAATTAAGCAACCATTGTAAAGATGTTCTAAATCGAACTAAACATTAAACTAATTTCAATGGTACAGTATATTTTTTCAAGTAGTGGGTACCCCAAACTTTCGCAGCTCTTATAAATTCCCTTTTCACACCATCAATAGGTAAACTCCCCCCCCCCCCCCGCGCCAAACGGCAAGTCCACCGGCACGTACACCACCTCTTTCCTAAAATCGGCCAATCAAATGCTAATTTTTATGCTAATTTCTTTGTCAGAACACCTTGTTTGCTCGCACACAGTTTAAAGGTCCGCTGTCTGAGCGTGGTTGTGTTTCGCTAAATTCTCCTGTTTGATTAGTACTAGGTGCCTTGGTGAATGTATATGCTCTGACTTTAACATAGCTATTTCTGTGACCAGTTACAAGCTAATCACTCAGCTATTTCAATTCTATGCTAATTCCTTTGTCAAGGGGTACCTCTGCGGATGTGTATACTTTAACTTAGCTATGTCAATGAGCCATTTCAATGCTAAATTATATGCTAATTCCTTTGTCAAGGCGCTTTGTTTTCTTCTCACACAGCTTAAAGGTCGTGATCTAAACGTGGCTTCTCTCACTCCAGCGCTGTCCTCCAGACAGTCTCGTCCCTTCACCTGATGAAGGCCGCTTGTGTTGTGGCCGAAACGTCGTGATTTTTTGTTATTTTATTTTCACCTACGTGACTTTACCCAATAGAACAAAAGAGTATGGATTCTAGCAGTCACGAAAGCTTTAAATCGACAACTCTGTGTGTTTGTGTGCACAAGTGTCCTGCACCCCCTTTGCTTCTATACAAGGAGTGCCGTGTCCATTTTGACATATTTGCTCTGCAGATAATGGAAATGGGCACATGATAATGTCAACTTATGTCCTATTCTACAATCTTGCCCCTTTATCAAAACGGCCTTTGCATGGAAAGAGGAGAAAAGTGAATGTGTTACTTCATCCATCATTAGTTGACCTCCCACTCCAAGGTTGGGTCGGAATAGCCCACATAACTAGCACAACTGTGTGTCTTTTAAATACATTTTGCAGATATTTTTAGTGTCCATGTGTACTCCTCCCTGCAGTGGGAGTCTGCCGTACCTAAGGAATTCAGAAATAAAGGGGCACATGCTATAAATAACAAGATGCTCAAGTGTTTAAAGGGAAAAAAAAATCTCCACAGCTGTTTGCACAATACTGCCCCTGATTGCCAATTCTATTGCGATTCTCGTATAAGTCCCTGAACAGCGGGGTGGAAAGGGACTCGAGCTGCACTTGAGTGTAGTTGAGTGACCTATTTAAGAGGGCACTGTGGTATAAAATAGAGGCCTGGGCCTCCACAGCTTCTATCAAATTCCCTGCTGCTTTATCAGCCCATTGGAATATGTTTTTAAGTGAGCCTTCCTTATGCAGAAACTACTTGATAAGATC